CTATTTACGTGGAGGTAATCGTTGACTATTATGCTTGACTTTTGTGATCATGCCTGCTACAATGGCTATATAAAGCAAATTCCTTACTGAACCATGGGAGTTTGGAGAATATATCGGATTTCGTTGGCAGGGGGTCTTCTTAAACTAAAATTGGTCTTAGTTCGAGTTACATGGATGATTGACAAATTTTTGACCTTATATTATTTTTTAGACACCCTTCTGACGCATAGGACCACATTATTCTTGGAAACTTCTATCAATCCGATATATGGATAACTCTGGTCCAATGCTTATTTGGGAATGTGCGTTGGGGCCTTCATTAATGCTAAAAAGGATGACTCTCAATGATACAATGTTAAAGGTTTTTTTGCAACCCCAAATGCCAAAGTTACTGCATTGTTCGGATAATATCGTTTTCTTTGCGTTTTGCTAAGTTTTGCTAGGAAAAAAAGATGCAAGAAAAGCGAAAACATTGCCTATCCCATTCTGACAATGCATTTCAATGCCGTCGCTAAATTTCCTTTATATCAACTTAACTCTTCCTTTCACTGTGACTCCTAAAAGAAGAATCTTATAGTTCCCGCTAATTTTTGCTGCTCACCGTTTTTTTTTCAATAAAGAAAGGATAAAACACACTAATTGCGTGCTACATGGAGTCTGGGTAAAAAGGTAAAAATGGCCTTTCCTGCAATCATCCCAAATTCTTTTTCCTTTATGAGTGTAGATGCAACAATAAATAGTTTTTCACGTGCCACATAATCGTGCAGCCGTCTGTTACCTAGCTAAACTCAGTTATTTCATTTTCTTTTGAAATTTTTCGGTTTGTCAGTCGGTTCCAACCTTCATTTATATCTAATAGCCATCAATTTGAAATTCAGTACGAGGTAATTGTACTTGAACAAGAACTCGTGGCGCAATTTGTGTTAGAACTTTCCTTCACATTGTGTTAGAGATCCTCGAATTATTTGGCAGCACAGAACATGATATCAGCAGTAATTAGTACCGATGCTCTGAGAGATTACATTAAATGTTCTTGTACTCATTACGTAACTAGGGGGCATAACTATTTTTGCGGCAAAAAAGAGACAAGTCTAGACGAAGCAGGTGACAGACGAAACTCGCGCATTTTCTTGTTTTAGGTTCTTCATTTTGAGCAAAGAATATAAAGAGTATATCATTATGAGTAAAGAGTATGTGGATAAAAAAGGGTTTTTCAGTCTGTAATTAAAAGGTGAAAACATTCGCGTGCTAAACTGAAGCATTTTTTTTATTTTTCGTACATTTATCTACTCAAATTGCTTCATTTTTTTACTTTTTCAGCTTCTTAGTGAATGTTGAGCTTTTCAAAGCAAAGCTATCAATGGTCCCTTCACCTCTACCTATCGAAAAATTGCTTTGAACTTGTCGTAATCAAGATTTTAATGCTCTCTCAACTTTGAACTGTAGTGACTAGAGGAACAGGTGGTTATTTGAAAGCCAGATCAATAGCTCCTTTAAAAAAACAGCTCTGCTGATAAAACTAAAATTGGTTGTGACTCCCTTTGCTGTAACTTAGGAGTTCTAAGAAATCTAGTTCGCCGTCCTGATGGCATAACTGCGTATGTATAGTATATAGAGACTCCTCCTACGGATAGGATGTGCGGGAGAAAAAACCGTGTGAAATGAGTCATTCAAAGGGCAAGAGCACAATGTGATCTGAAGGCTTTTCGCTTATTCAAAGCAGTGGCCTTCTTTGTCCGCCAAAAATGATGGCTATTTGAATATTATGGGCGAAATCATTTTTCTCAGCATTAAAGAAAATAAGCAGATGTCCCCTCTCAACTCATCAGTGTCAAGTCAATGATGAAGGAGTGTTTATCACTGATAGTTCAGCTTACCCGACGTTGTCTTCGATGGAAGGTTTCTGGGATTTCACCGAGGTGGTCTTCTAGCTCACGTCTTTCAATTTCATCAAAGCTACTTTCATCGAGATCGATGCCCAAACCGGTATTGTATGTCGAAGCTGGAATTTTCACAATTGACAGCTTATCATGCCCTTACTTTGACATAACTTTTTACTTAGAAAAAGAGCAATGGACCTAATAACCTTTCCTTAAAATGAAACTATCGCTATACATACAAATAATACATGTAAAAACGCTTGCAATTGCAGACGGAAACATTCTCTTAAAAGTGCGGAATGGTATTGAAATTAGTGATTTCGATAATTGACACATTAGAAATATTGGAATACAACATGTTAAAAAGTGATCTTAGCGGGCTAAAGTGCAGATATTTATTAGCTGAAACTCCAACCAGGTAATTGAGTCTCAACTTGTATCTGAATAAATCTGCATGGACAGACTTACCAAAGTCTGCGTTACCGTTGAGGAGATCAGCGCGCTGATTTTCACTGAGCGTAGGGTCCGAGTCGACCCGTTGGTAGCCATGTAATGTCATTACCGATCCGTCCTCCGACGCATCTAAGATATTTCTCATTTTTTCAAGTCATTTCA